CTGGTGAAGCAGCTGGTGAATCACCTGGTGAAGCAGCTGGTGAATCAACTGTGTGCCGGCAAATCTACGAGTATTGTTCGTGAGGTCAGGATCCAGTACTTAAGAGACACTTTTACAGCTAAATGTTGTCACCTTAGCTCAAGTGTCAGACCTCAACCCACAAATACCGCCGGATCTCATTCGGAGAAATCTTAACAGAACAAGGTTTAATAAAGGTAGGAGTAAAAGAAAGCGGGGAAGACGGGCGGGGCTCAGACTTCGGCTGAGGAGACAACGCGTTGAGCGCATCCCTCTTCCTTCTCTCATCTTGGCACGTGTGCGGTCCCTCAGGAATAAACTCGATGAACTTCAAGGCTGTGTCCGCTACAAAAAGGATTTTAAAGACTGATGTGTTTTGGCTCTCGGTGAAACGTGGCTCACAGAGCGGGACTTGGACTCGGATCAGTCCATAGACGGCTTCGGGGCTCCACTTAGACCGGACCGACAGGCGGAGGTAACGGGAAAACTCAGGGAGGAGGAGTCTGTCTGTTAACAGACGTTACTGTAGTGCTGCGACTAGTAGAGAGCGTAGTTGCACGCCTCATGGTGATCTTTTATCAGCGTCTCTATGGCCTGTTTATGTTCCCCGTGAGTTCCCCCAAATCTTTATCACAATCGTGTACATTCATCCGAAGGCAGACCCCACCTCTGCCTCCAACACAATTTTTGATATTGTGCAGAAGCAGCAGTTCATCTCACCTGACGCACCAAACTTTGGTTTAGGTGATTTTAATCACGTTTGTTTTTTTTTTTTTTAAATGTTGAGAAATTTTTACCAGTACGACACGATGTGATGACACTGGATTTATGGAAAGATGCTGTGGTGGTTCCTGTCCCTAAATGCAATCATCCCATAACTGTTGGTGATTTTAGACCAGCAGGTTTGACCTCAGTTCTGGTGAAAATGTTTGAAAGACTAATCAGAGGTGAGATTTTAAATCTTCTAGATCCCATGCAGTTTGTTTACAGGCCTCACAGAGGGGTCGAGGATGCAACACTCACTCTGTCAACCTTCTGTTTAAACACCTAGACTCTAACGGGACACATGTCAGACTTCTGTTTGTGGATTTGTCCTAGACTCTAACGGGACACAAGTCAGACTTCTGTTTGTGGATTTGTCCTAGACTCTAACGGGACACAT